GAGAGGAAGACCGCGAAAACGTCTCACAGTTAGTCTGATGACAAGGGGTCTCTAACCTATCATCCGCCTACCACTGAGGATATTTGGTCGATGTAAGCCGGATGCGGAATTCGTATTAGCCATTGCTGGCATTCGAACCCGGTTCATCTCATTGGAAGGTGCCTCCCTGGCCGAGCGGTATCGCCGGTCCAAACGCTCTGTTAAGCGTGGAGGTAGCGGGTTCGAATCCCGCCGTAACCCTGGATGTATTCTTTGTGATGTCTTTCTCTGAATTGTTCTATCTGTATTTTCTACTTGACAATGACTTATAAGCCTATGTTGAGCACACAAGTCAGCAAATGTATGTAATTTCAATAAAATACTCATTGGAAGGTGAACGCTCTATCCCCTGAGCCATCGTGGCTCAAGTTAAGTTGAGAAAGCAAAGCAAATATTTAATATAATTAAAATTATAAAACGCGATTATTATAGCACTTATTTATATGATTAGAAGGCTCCGTTCGCCAACCCCTGTAATTTCTTATTCTTCGTCATTTTTTTTACGTCATTAATTTTCTTAAAAACACATAGCATATGGTTTTCAAAATATACAATTATTGTAGCGCTATGTAAAAACATTATGATAATATATTAATCGTAACTAAATACACGGTTTCCTAGTTTTGAGGAATAATCATCTGAACTTAAACCTAAGGAACGTTAAATTACGAAATGTTTAATTACGTACTTCGTACTAAGGAACGTTAATCAAAAATTTAACATAAGGAACGTAATGTAACTCAATAGGAACAAATAAATTAGAAGTAATTTTACTCCTTGACGATATTTATAACAATTCAAATAAGGAACGTTTTTTTGTGGTCTATTTTTAAAAATTTCAATATAAATCCTAAGATTTATTTTTTATGGCAACATGTAATCTCTCTTTTTTGCTACTTTGAATTGACATCTACTTATTGAATGCGAGCTTAGAAAATAAAGATCTCGGGAGGGAATAACAAATTTTCTACAGCAGTGGATAAATAGTCAATATTTAAAGCAAAAAAGCTGAAAAATTCATGTTTTTAATAACTTTCAAACAAATTGGAATTTCGAAACAAAATTCGCGTTAAGTTCGCAAATAAAAATAGCACGTCAAATTTTATCTCTGTAATTGCATTTCAACGGGCTACAGATCGACCACTTGGTATTTTCTCTCTAGAAGTTGAACAGCTCGTAATTTTCAAACTTAATTGTCGAATGTTAAATTGTTATATTCCGTCGCTGTTCATTTTTATGCTATCCATCGTAATTTCAAATTAATAATTCAAATCAATAATTAAGAATTCAACTGCGCAGCAAAACTAAGTGTAACGTAAAGAAAAAAAAAGTAAGAGAAAATTTATGAAAAAGAACTTAAAATTTAAATAACTTTCAAACAAATTGAAATTTCGAAGGAAAAAAAAAATGTTAAGTTTCAAAACAAATATGGCCCTTTCAGACGCGTAATTTCATTTCTGTAGTTGCATTCCCATAACTTACAAAGAGACCCTTGGTATCAGTAGTCAAATTTAACACTTAATCAGGGGTCTGTCCAGACATTTTGTGAAAGGTCCGTTTTTCGTGAAATTGTGAAAAAATTACTCACATTCTTTCAACCAGGGTCCGCCTTTGTGAATTTGTGCAAATAGGGTCCGTTATTGCAAAAAAAAATTTTTTTCAAGGAATTTTTAAATTGTAAAGACATACAAGATTATGCTCAACACTGTAAAATTATAATTAAAAAAATTAAATTTTAAAAAATAAATAATAATTGCTGCTTCTAAATTAGAGATGCAACATACAAATATTTGGTATTTAGCCTATACTGCTGAACGCAGTACATTAATTTCGGACGAATAATGGAAGAAGCGTCTGCCGAAGACAAAACGTAACTCGTTTACATCCATCTTTCTTGTTTTCTGCCCTGGAAAAGGTTTATTTGATTAATACAATAATAATGAAGATAAACAAATTTGTGAAGGGTCCGATTAAAAGAAAAATCATTTTGTGAAGGGTCCGTTTTTATGTTAAAATATTTTGTGAAGGGTCCGTTTTTAAGTTAAAATATTTTGTGAAGGGTCCGTTTTTA